AAAAAAAAAAAAAAAAGTGGAGCATTTTTTATTATTGGATGAGATAATTTTTGCTTTAGGTGGTCTTTGGTTAAAAATTTTGAGAATAGTTATTATTTTCTCTATTTATTTTAGAAGATTTTTTTCAAATAAATTAAGTATATAATAATTTATTAATTAAATTTTATATTTATTTTTAATTAAGTATTACTTAACCAAGGCCTTTTTAATATATATTATAATTATTTTTTAAAACAAATGTAAAATAAAAATAAATGTATTAAATGATATTTTTAAAAAATAAACAATTAAATTTAAACACCCTAAATAAAATATTAGGTTTCTTAAAATTGAACAAAAAGAGTAGTGTTAGTCCTAATTAAAATGCATTACTTTTTCTATTTTAAAGTAATTGTTGCTTTTTAACATTTTCTCTAAATTAAAGATTTATGAATTATATTTGTATTTATCTATAATATCTTTAAAAAAATAAAGAGAAATATTTTGTGATTGGATAATTAATTAAAATGAATAGATAATGATAGAGTTAAAATAGAAAAAAAAAATAATATTGTGTTTGTTTACTTAAAAAATAATTAATTTGAAATAAATTTAAAATAAAAAAGGCAATTATTTTGAGATAGAGAAGAGTAAATATTTTGGATTATATAAAACAATACTCATTTTATTCAATTTTAGTAGATATAATTTTTAATTGGCACATTCAAATTTAGTTATCTACTAAAAAAATGTCATTTAATGTATTTATTTTTATTTTATTCTTAATTTAACAAGATAATTATCATATGTATTAAATCAATTAAAGATAAATATAAAATTGTATCAATAAATTATTACATCTTTATTTTATTAAATAAAAAAATAAATTTACTAAAATTAAAGAAAGAGAGTAATTAATAACCATTAAATATCAATTATCAATTATATCTAAATAACTAAGCTCATACAAACCTTAATTTTTTTTTTTGGACAAATAGCATGTTATATTTTTCACTGGTAAATGACAATAAAAAAAGAATGGCTAAATTTAACTTTTCATCTACTAACTATTATTCTATTTTCATTTTAGTCTAAAAAGTTTAGTTTATTTCAAATTCATCTATAAACTTTGAAAATAATTTTAGATTCATCTAGCTAGCAAACTTCCATTAGTTTTTTTAACAGAATCATATGGCACGATTATGTGGCACGTGACATGTAATTTTGAAAATTTGTACTTCTTTTTTTTTTCTTTGTTTTTATTTATACATCTTAATAATGTTTTCCCTTTTTTGTGAGATTTTTTTTATTTTTTATTTTTATTTTTTTAATAAATCTATATCTTTTAATTTTGATTAACAACTAAAAAAATCATCATTGTCATTATTATGATAACATTATATCATTTTATTTTAAGGTCAGTGCGAATTAATCTCAATTTCTAAAAAAAAATTAGAATTTCAACTTATATTTAGAAATTAATTTAAAAACTTAAATTCTAATTCAAAATTAAGAATTTAATCAGTTTTTAAATATAAATATTAACATTTAATAAAATAAACTTTTAAATGTTAAATTAAGTTTTAATTAAATAAAATGAAGTAATTTAATGTTAAAACTTCAATTTTTTTAAAGTCAAAATTGATATGTATTTTTTTCCTCTTTTTTTTTATTTAGTTCAAAAAATTAATTTTTATCTGTACTCTCTCTTTCTAAAAATAATTTTTTTAAATTAAAAATTTAAGAGTAATTTATGTTTACTTGTATTACCCTTAAAAAGAAATAAAAGATTAAGAGACACATTTTGTGATGGGATGATTAATTAAAGTAAATAAATAATAATAAGGTTAAAGTAAAAAAAATATGTTTGTTATTATCTATTTACTTTAATTAATCATCCCATCACAAAATGTATCTCTTCATCTTTTATTTCTTTTTAAGGGTAATACAAGTAAACATAAATTATCTTTAAATTTTTAATTTAAGAAAATAAAAAAAATATTTTTAGAAAGAGAGAGTACAAATAAAAATTAATTTTTTGAACTAAATAAAAAAGAAAAAAGAAAAAATACATATCGGTTCTGACTCTAAAAAAAATACACTTTGTGATGGGATGATTAATTAAAGTAAATAAATCATAATAAGATTAAAGTAAAAAATATATATTTGTTATTATCTATTTACTTTAGTTAATCATCCCATCACAAAATGTATCTCTTAATCTTTTATTTCTTTTTAAGGGTAATACAAGTAAACATAAATTATCCTTAAATTTTTAATTAAAAAAAATCAAAGTATTTTGAGAAAGAAAGAGTACAAATAAAAATTAATTTTTTGAACTAAATAAAAAAAAAGAAAAAAGAAAAAATGCATATCAGTTTGGACTCCCAAAAAAATTGAAGTTTTAATCTTAAATTACTTTGTTTTATTAAATTAAAACTTCATTTAAAATTTAAAAATTTATTTTATTAAATGTTAATATTTAGATTTAGAAATTGATTAGATTCTTAATTTTGAATTAAATTTTCTAAATATAAATTGAAATTCTAATTTTTTTTAAGTCGAGATTAATCTGCACTAAAATCAAAAGGAAATGATATAATTTTATCATAATAATAACAATGATGATTTTTTTAGTTAATCAAAATTAAAAAATATAAATTTATTACAAAATAAAAAATAAAAAATAAAAAATTCTCTGAAAAAAGTGAAACATTATTAAGATATACAAATGAAAAAAAAAAAAAAGAAGTACAATATTTCAAAATTGCATGTTATGTGCCACATAATCATGTCATAGGATTCCGTTAAAAAAATTAACGAAAGTTTGTTAAATAGATGAATTTGAAATAATTTTTATAGTTTATAGATGAATTTAAAAGAAACTAAACTATGTAAATTAAAATAAAAATAGAATAATAATTAAAGATGAAAAGTTAACCTTAGCCCAAAAATTTTTTTTTACTAAAACATTAAAAAAGGGGTGAATTTTACTAGTTAATGGCATAAAATTAAATTCTATGCTTGAATTTTAGAAAGTACATGGACTTTCGGTTTGGTATGCCATGCTGCCTAATCCCATGCCACGGCCACCTACACCTATGTAAGTGTGTAACGTACCACATTTGCTTTGCGTTATATGTATTAAAAAGAAAGTGGAAAGTCCCTCCTTCCCCTGGTAGTTTTGGTAAACCCATGGACTTTTTGCGATCCAAAGGCGGTTCCGAGCAAAACCATGGGCAGATTTCTGTCAGCCGACTCCCGCACCATGGAAAAAAAAGGCTTCCCCGAATACCAAAACCGGCAGCTCCACGCCCTCTATATACCATTGTCTCCCCCCAAATACCGCTCCAATCCATTACACCCCAGTATTTCATCTTTCTCCCTCTGTTTACGTGCAGTTTCCTGCTGCAAAATCTGACTATCTTTTCTTCTTTGCCGGGTAGAGACTGAAAGAAGAAACATGATGCTGCCTGTCTCGATGATGTTACAACTCGGGTTCCTTCTTTAACTTTCTGGGTGTGTTTCAGTTTTTTACTGGGTATGTTTTTTATTTTCTGTTGGTTCGATTAATTGTTTTTGGGGTGTTTCTGTTTTCTGGTACCGGAAAAGGCTGCAATAGGTGGGTGATTGTGGTTTGGTTTGATGGCTAATAGTTTGGCTGGTGGGATGATTTCTGGGATTGGTTCAGGGATGTTGGGACTGGAGATGCCACTGCACCCACAGGGGCCACAACACTCACAACAGCAGCAGCAGCAACAGCAACAGAATACCCAGAACCCGCAAAACCCTCATCATGGGCACCCGCACCCACATATGGTTGCCTATGCCCCTCATGATGCTGACCATCACCAGCAATCCCAGCAATCTGTCAAACAAGGGTATCAATTTGTTGTTAAGTCCAAACAACCTTCACCACTTAGTGATGACGATGAGCCTGCTGATGATGGTGCAGGGGATGCCAGGAGGAAAATGTCCCCATGGCAGAGGATGAAATGGACTGATAACATGGTTAGGCTCTTAATTATGGCGGTTTATTACATTGGTGACGAAGCTGGGTCTGAAGGAAATGATCCATCTGGCAAGAAGAAGGCTGGTGGGTTGTTGCAGAAGAAAGGGAAGTGGAAATCGGTGTCGAGGGCTATGATGGAGAAAGGGTTCTATGTTTCACCACAGCAGTGTGAGGATAAATTTAATGACTTGAACAAGAGGTACAAGAGAGTTAATGATATACTAGGTAAAGGAACTGCTTGTCGTGTTGTGGAGAATCAATCATTGCTTGATGCCATGGATTTGTCACCAAAAATGAAGGAAGAGGTGAGGAAATTGTTGAATTCAAAGCACTTGTTTTTCAGGGAAATGTGTGCTTATCATAATAGTTGTGGGCATGGTACTGTGACAAGTGGTGCCAATCATTCACCTGAGGTGGCTCTCGAGCCATCCCAGATTCAGCTCCAGCAAGCTCAACAACAGAGTTGCTTGCATTCATCAGATAATGCTCATGTTGCAGCCAATTTGAGCAGAGTTGAAACAGATGGATCCAAAGTGGCGAAGGTGCATAGTGAAGAAGATGAGGATGATGAGGATGATGACTCTGATGAAGATGAGGATGATGAAGAAGAGACGATAGATGGTCACTCCAGAGGCCATAGTTGGCATGGACAAGATGACGAAGATGAGAATGATGAAAGGCCCTCACACAAAAGGACCAGAAAGGGATCGCATCCCTCATTGTCACCATTGATGCAACAATTCAGTGGGGAACTAATAACAATGATGCAAGACGGGTCAAAGAGTGATTGGGAGAAGAAGCAGTGGATGAAGGTGAGACTGATGCAATTGGAGGAGCAACAAGTAGGCTACCGATACCAAGCATTTGAGCTTGAGAGGCAGAGACTAAAGTGGATCAGGTTTAGCACCAAGAAGGAGAGGGAAATGGAGAGGGCAAAGTTGGAGAACGAGCGAAGGCGTCTTGAGATTGAGAGAATGGTGCTGCTTGTGCGGCAGAAGGAGATTGAGGTGCTTGAGCATCAGCATCAACCGCAGCAGCTTTCTTCTAGCAAGAGGGGTGACCCATCTTCAGTTACTGTGTGAAACATGGACAATGTACATCTGTAGGCTTTTGATAGATAAGACGATCCTACGTCAAAAGGGTATTTCTGTTTTTCTTGTTTGGATTTTGCTTTAGAAATTCAGCATTAATCTTATGAATTCGACATATCCTTCCCTGCACCTCTCTGGAAATTCATTTAAGCACACCAAGAAAGTTGACCTATCCATGGTGGTTCTGCCTCTGTGCAGGTTAATCGTTCAATTTCATGGATATTAATGTGATTGAAATAGTGTAAAAAGAGGTTAATTCTATGTTAGAAAAATCAACTTGCTGACACAGTTGAATTGAAATCTTACATTGACCATTTTGTTGTGTTGCTTCCTGCTTCTGTTAATGGTGGATGAGGAAGACTGCAAAAAGGGAAATTTTGTAATCTTTTAAGGGCCCAAAAAAAATAGTACACTGTAAAATGAGAAAGAATGCGGTATACTAAGCACGCCTGGTGGGACTCCAACCCACAATCGTCTGATTAGAAGTCAGACGCCTTATCCATTAGGCCACAGGCGCTTCAACTTGAGTGTGTACTGATGCCTTATCCATTAGGCCACAGGAGCTTCAACTTGAGTGTCTACTTTGTTTTATTATAAAATCAAAGAGAATGACCGACCAATTATGCTATTATAACCCCACCCGACTGTGGCGCAACTTCTTACGTAGACACCTGTAGTGAATTTCGTTACGAAGAGATCTCGTGTACATATGATGATGTTTCTCCTTTCCACCGCAATATAGGGATTCAAGCGGAGCTTAGAGGTTAGAAGTGAAGAACCACAAAACCATTTAAATCGGGGAGAAAAGCATCATTGGTGGGTTCGCATAATAAGATTGTGATATTACTAAAAATGGGCTCATGGACCCGTACTTCATTTTTAACAAATCAGGAAACGTCAATGTTTTTGTTATTAGCAAGTTCCTAACCATGTATCCAAAACCAGGAGATACACCTCACAGGTGCCGCCGGCAGTGCACACCACTGCTTTCAAAACTTAGGAAGAAAATAATAATAATAATAATAAAACTCACAGAAGGGTAAAACAAGAGTATTCTAATCTTCTAGCTCAATAATCTTCACGACGGATGCATCCCCAACCTTCTGGCAAACGACTACTCGATCATGAGACTTTATAATTCCTGCAGCTTTCCCATGTTCAAGAGCAACCTTCAAAACTGACTCATTTGTCGCACTTGTTGACTCCGCCTGCAAATTCATGTAGGATTAGATCACATGTTCGTGAATTCTAAATAATGAAGCTATAACGCCCCAACAACCCAGTGAAGCACACATCAATTAACTGAAAAGAGGGAACTTACAGGATGGCGTGGATCAGCTAGCATGGGGAAAAGACCTCTTATAATGAGTGATTGCCTTGCCTGAACATTTTACCAAGAAGGTATATACTTTCATTAGCGAAAATATTAAAACTTATATACCAGAAATGAGATGGATTTACCTCAACAGAATGTAAAACTTTTGAAAATTTATCGGTAAGGTGAAGTAAGGTCATAAATGAAAGATGGTGTAAATTTTGACTTGTGCAATAAAATATTATTCTATTATATCACGTGTGCTTCTTTTAGATATTTATTTACTGCATGGCATTATTAACTGCATCAAATTTTGAAAACTCTTGCAGAAGTTACAAAATCTTTCAACAGCATAAATCAATAAAATTCTCAGGCAGTGACCACTTCACCAAATAGCATCAACAGAAAAAGTAGGTTTTCCATGTTGGTTTTGTGAAGAACCAAGCAGGAAATCTAGAATAACCATATTGCTTACATGAGAAGTCACATACAACTAAAATTATTTTTAGATGGTGTTCCTTGGACATTGAACTAGTTAATTTGACAATTTAAACAGCTGTGGCACATTCTAGTACGAACAAATTTGTTAAAAGGGTCAATGACTTGCTGAAATTCAATTTAAAACAACAATTTGGATCAGAATAATGCAACCCCAATGAAAAAGGTTCCCTAACCATCACTTTTTCTCTGGCAAGTCAACATGGATCTCAAAAGACACTTCACAAAATTTAAATTGGCCACCCCAGAATTAGCTAAATGGCGAAAAAGGCTTACCTCAAAGGCTCCACTAAAGCTCCACCTGAGTTGATTTGTCTTAAGCCGAGGGATGACAACTGAGAGAACAGGCATTGTTGGCCTGTACTTCGAAATCAATCTGGGCATACAAAATAGAAAGAACTTAGAAGGCATATAAAAGCATCAACGCACATCAAAAAGGTTTTAATTATTTAATTATACCCAGCTCCCCAATCCCTTCAAGCCCCAGCCTTGCTCCTAAAGAACAAGAATGACAGCAACATATGGTATGCATATGATAATATACATTGGTGCATATATGACTAAATACCTGGCAGCTCTCCCTGATGATGTGAAGCATATGATAACAGATGCCTTCACCTTAATGGCTGCTCGAACCTGAAGAAGAAAAAACAGACAATTAGAAACCTATTTGGAAAAATATGCAGTTCTGACCATAACTAGTCAGGAGATGTTATCCTGACATGATCAGTAGGTGTACAGAAGAGTAAAGGGCATACCGCAGAGGAAGCAATGGATTCCAAGTGAGTCATTGGCTCCCCAACATATTTGACAGTCTTCTTAAAATATAAATCCTGGTTGAATACCTTCTCAGCCTACATGATTCACATGACAAGATTAAAAAGGTGAACCAAGAAATAAATAGGGGTAACTGAAATCAAATATCAATTAAATAATGTAGACATTGTACTCATTGACAGATAACGCAATTATGTTGTTTGCCTGTTTGGTGAAACATATAATGGAGATATATGGAGATAAGTTCAATGAACATCCTAGTGGATTATGAAGGAAAGAGAATGAGCTAAGGCAAAAACGATTTGGTTTGAAAGTACAATATAAAGTAATACAGCCATACAGGTTCCTATAGCAAAACAAAAGGTTCTTTAGAGTTCTTAATGGATAAAAGGACAAGGAGAAAAAAACAAGGAGAACGAATATTGTCCGTGTCTCTTTTCCCCCAAGCAATAAAAGAAAAAAAAGAAAAAAAAAAGGGCTATAATAGAAAATTTTACCTCAGAGCAGATTTTACCAACAGTAGAAATGGTTTCAATAGGATATAATCCACGCAGGGTCTCAGCACCAAGAAGAATAGCATCACTTCCTGCAATTGACAGCCAATCAACCCACAAATTATGATACAAATCCAGCAGATGGTGTCATGTGGGTAAAAGAAATTAAACTAATTAGCAGGAAACTTGAGTATTTGTCAGAAAAAGTTTCCAAATTCAATAAGCAAAGAATTGACAATGACTAATTAGACATGCTAAACCAGAACCTAGTAATTACATGTGCAAACAAACAATTTGAAAATGTGCATTCACTGAATGAACAATCTCAAAAGCAATAAGTTCACATCCAGAAGATGGTTACATACCATCCAAGACAGCATTTGCGACATCAGTTGCCTCAGCACGAGTAGGCCTCAAGTTGTCAGTCATACTGTCAACAACACGTGTGACCACAGCTGGCTTTCCAGCCATGTTACATTTGTAAAGAGCAGCTTTCTGAAACAAGAACACCTGCAAAAAGAAAAAGAGATCAATTTAATATGTGCTCCACCAAGTGACCACTCCAAGTGCTAACTGCAGCCTTTAAAACAAAGTACATGCACCAAACAATTACCAAGACCAAAGAAAATTAATTAGCATGTGAATCATGCAATTTGTGCCCTGCACATCACATCTTTTAGTAAATAAATAGGCAAATCTATCTATATTCACAACCAAAAAAGTGACCAAAAGAATGTTCTGATATTAGGCAAGAAACTAGCCAACAAGAAAATTTTGCTGTTCGGAAATTGATTATAAGGCCCAAGAATCACATCTTGGGCATATTTAATACAACTGGAAATCACATAAACTATTATGATAATAGCAAAGTATAGTATTAGCACCTAAAAATGAACCATGAGCTTGTTTGAGGACACAAAATTTTAATTCAAGCAAAACCAACTGGTTCCAGTCCAGTTAGGAACTGACCTTCTCAGGTGGGAGATCAATACCCAAATTTCCACGGGAGAGGATAATTCCATCTGCTACTTGTAAGATCTCATCAAAATGGTTCAACCCCTGAAGTATATAGAAAAAAAAAATTTGAATACTTTCTCACATTAACACAGAACAACAATCAAGATTCCATATTTACTTAGGTAAGCAATTACAATATGCAACTTGCCTCTATTGTCTCAATCTTAGCAAAAATTTGTGTTTGATAGAGATCGCCCAACTTGGAGAGAAACTCGCGAGCCTGCAAAGAGAACGGAAAAGAACAATTGGGGAATAAATAAAAGATTAGCTTTGGGGCAGTGAAGAAAGAGAAATATTACCTCGCGAACATCTTGGGCATGCCTTGTATATGACAATGATAGAAAGTCAATTTTGTTGGTGGTTCCCCATGAACTTATAACCTGAAGTGAACATCATATCGCATAACTCAGTCGAAAAGTAAGGACAAAAGGGCGAAGAATTAACGTAGAGAAAGATGAGAAAGGATGGAAGGTGGATGGTGTTTATTCCACATGAGACTGATTAATCAGTAATTACCAACATGCATAAATCTAAAGCATATTACCTCCTTGTCTTTATCAGAGAGTGTTGGTAAATCAATACGAATTTGAGAGCCATGCAAAGTGAACAATGAACCAGCCAATGTTGCAGAGTTCTTTATCACACAAACCACATCATTCTCTTTTACTTCATCAACCTGCATAATTTCAATATAAGTCTTTGGACTTTGGGGTATGGAATCATCTACATAATTTGAACCAGGTGACATTTATTTGGTCCAGCATCTCAATTCCCCAAAATATGACGTAAAAAAGCTAAATAGAGGGCTAAGAGACTTCCCACATTAATAACAGAATTGGTGCTTATGATTTCTTTTTTCTTACCTCCAGCCATACAGAAGTGGTTTCACTCCCAGTGAATAGGTACTGACCAATGAAAATGGTATCCCCCTTTTTCACGGCCTGCAAAAACCTTAGATTTGTCAAGCAGATTGCAAAAAGAAGAAAAAATAAAAAAGAAATAACGCACAATGGTTTGAATTATGCACCAAACAATTACAAGCCTACCAGTTCAATAAACAATGATTCATTACTGGTAAAAGGCTACCCAAAAGATGTAGGTTTATACCGATGACAGTCCATCAAAATTGATGGGCAGAAGTTCCGAAGAGGCTTCTTGTCCCTGATCAGGTGTCAAAACAACAGAACCATTCTCCTTGAGGGAAATAGCTTTCTCACTTTTATTAACCACCTGCAATTCTGGACCCACTGTGTCCAGCATGACCTAAAAGGCAGAAAGAACGATAAGAAAAAACTGTTTCATTCAATTCATTCATACAGAGGAATAAAAAGCACCATTCAAACATTCAGCAGAAGCATCAAAAAAAAGTTCGTTCCAAAAAAAAAAGAAAAAAGCAGTGGCTAATTTGTTGGTAATCATTAGAGATTAAGATGCAACATCCTTTGACCGGAGGAGTAATAGAATTCAACCCAATCCAAACAATGTCCTAAAACAATTTACAGACAACGCAAAGGTAGCATTAAAGAAGATTCCTTTCTTCCAACAAACAGTTACATCGGAAGTGAACAGTTAAAGTCACTGCTGACTAGAGACTAACGAGTAGAGACTCCAGCTTGTATTTGCCGGCCCCTAAGGTCACTTTCACATAGTTTAAGGTTTATTTATTTTATTATAATTGCAATGTGAACTGACTTAGCAAGAAACAAAGAGGAAGCCAAAAAAAAAAGAAAAAAGAAAAAAGAAAGAAAGACAGAACTTTAAAGAACCAATTAAGAAAGAATAGAAAGAAAAAATACCGCGCAAAGCTTCTTAGTGCTCTTGATAGCCACCTTCAAATTCTCTAATGTCTCCTGGTGATACTCTGGGTCACCCCATGAAAAATCGAACCTAGCCACTGCAAAAACCGCAAACATCAGAATGCATCCAAAAAGCAACCACAGCTCAAACACTAAAGAAATCAAGCAACAAAAAGTCTCATACCAGACATTCCAGCTAGAAGACAACCAGAGATAACCTCAACGGATCGAGACTTCGGACCTAGAGTTCCGACTATCTTCGTCATTGCAGGAAAGAAACTCTGCATAAAGAATCACAAACACAGTGAATCAACGACCAAATCGACACAGATCCATTTAAGGAGTTAAAATCGACAGAAAGATAATCAAAACAAAACGGAGACAACAGAGGTTGATTCAGGAACTCACAGGCTTAGACGGCTCCAGAATTGAAGCCATCCGAATCGGTTCCTCCAGAAGCAAGTGATTGGAATGCATCTTCGCCGGTTAACGAATCGGAAAACGGAGAACAAAAACACCGATTTTTCTGTTCCTTCGATTGTAAGACCAACTTCGCGTGAAGACGCCGGAGCTCTGTTTTACCTTTAAATGATATTCCAGAAGAATGATTTCGTGTTTCTCAAGACCTGGAAACAGGATTTTTCAGTTTAAATATGAATTCTACGGGGGATACGTGGCAGGACAAGGACCAATGGATTTTGATTTTTGAGGTTTGATGCTGTTGAAGTTGAGATTCCAGTGGGTAGATGCGTTCCGGTAGGACACGTGTGGCGTGGGGTGCAAGCGCTTTAAGGTGCGTGTGGAATAGTGTGAGTTTTGGTGCTTCTGTTGATAGTGCCATTCCACAGCACGAGTTTTGTCGTGGAAAGAAGGCTTTTTTCCGCCCAACGTAAAGAGGGAACCCATAGGAATGAGCTGCGGTTTTTGATAGGCTAGCCGCTACGGCCTAAAGGCTGCGGCGCATTCAAAGTCATGGAAGGTTCTACACCCACCCTGTTTGAACGGGCCCAAACAAAAAATAAACTTGTAGAAATTTTGTTTTCTTAGAGAGGCAATGATAAAAAGTTAAAAGTTGAAAGATAAGTTAATATTTTATTTTTGATAAAATTCGGTAGAGTGTAATTTATTGGTAGTTTTATTAGGTTACGATGACCACCAATAAATTATAACAAGGAAATATAACTTATAGGAAATTGTGTTCTATATTCTAAACTGAAGCGAACTAGAAACTACGAAATAATCTCATTTAAAAAAAAAAAACGAAAACACTAACTGTTCGGGCAGCCTCCGAGCTTATATACTATTGAGATTTTGAACTATTTTGATATTTGAAGACATTTTAATATTTAAGTTGGAAATATTTAGTTAGTTAAAAAAAAAAGAATTCTCAAAATTAAATATTATAAAAAATATAATAAAATTATTATCTTATATAAAAATAAATAAAATATTTATAATTTTTATTTATTATACTTGTGTCGTATGTAATTATATAATTAATTTATGTGTTAGTAGTCACGTGAGTGGATTACCATTTCTCTTTTATCTTTGGACTTTTTATTAGGCCTTTTCCTAATGTTGGCCAACCCCCGAACACTAACTAATATTGTTCCGTATTCTACTCTAATATATATTTTGTACTTTAATACAATGTAAATATTATTAATTAATTTTTTTTATGTTATTATTTTTTTCATGTTGTCACTTTTTTTTATCATATTGTCTTTTGTATGTTCTAATATTTGTCATGTTATTTTGTAACTGTAAAATAACAAGCCATGTCACCAAAATTTTAACAAAAAAATCAAATTAAAGAAAAAATAAAAAATAATAAAAATTAAATTAAATTTTTTTAAAATTTAAAAACCAAATTAAAGATTCATATAATAATTCAAGCACCAAATGAGATTTTAAGCTAAAATTTGCTTTCTTATTTTCTTAACAAAAATTCAATTTTTTCGCCCGACCTACCAAATTAAACAAAGGCAAGCAAAGATACGGCGGGCGCCGACAAGACCAGATGGCCTACGCAGGTCCCATCCACGTGCCAACCTTCTTCGTTGCTGCTCTATTACTTAACGGAACCGTCTTGAACGTCACGGCTTATCACGTTCCGTCAAACCACCCCGTCTCTCTTACGTTCGGCGTCCTCACCTAACGTCGTCTCCGTTGGCGTTCGTGTTCCACCGCAACCCCAAACCCTAACCCTAACGTCTCCTTATGGCGTCGTCCGTTGAAGACGAATTCTCCATCCTTGATGATAACCAAACAAACCCTAATCACCATGTCATCCCCGAACCTTCCTCTTACGCTTCGATCCACGCGCCACCGGACAAGAAGGATGCTGATGAAGAATCCGAATCCACCTTCGGCGGCAGAAGCTTTGGGAAGACAAACAACGCCACCGATTCACGGATCGAGAAGAGGAGAGACCAGGATGAGTTGAACGACAGCGTTGCGAAGAGACCGAAGCAATCGGCGGAGTACAGGAAGGACAGAGAAGAATGGAACGATTCGGCGATCGAGTGCTTGCTCGATGCTTACCTGGAGAAGTTGACGCAGCTGAACAGAGGGAACCTGAGGGGAAGGGACTGGGAGGAGGTGGCGTCTGCGGTGAGCGAGCGATTGGAGAAGCAGAACAAGAGCGTGGAGCAGTGCAAGAACAAGGTCGACAATTTGAAGAAAAGGTACAAGCTGGAGAGGCATAGGATGAGCGAAGGCGGTGTCTCAGCAAGCCACTGGCCGTGGTTCAAGAAGATGGAGGAGATTGTCGGGAATTCGCTGCCGGCGAAGGCAGCAGCAGATGAGGAAAAGCCCACTGCTTCCCCAGGAAGTTCAGTTAGGCCATTGAAGAGGTATGTCTCATGTAAATTAGCAATCTTTTCTGGCTTCCTCTGTAGAGAAATGTGGCCATTTTAGTTAGTAGAGGAAATAAAAGTTTTTTGTGGCCGAATCAATTAAAAGTTGGCGTGTTATCTTGATTTTGAAGTTTATAAATGTAATCTCGACTGTAAAACAGGAACTATTGGATTGGGGAACCGCAATATTAGCCACCGCCCCCATCTAATTTGGATTGCCCAAAACTATTTTGAATGTAAATATTGTCAACCATGTGTTTGTGTGTATGAGTTCATGCTCAAGCTTGCAAGTCTTTGACAACTTCATGTGTAAAATGTTGATTATTATATGCATTCTATTGTCATTGGAGAATAATAGGACCATTGGGATTTACTGATCTTGATTTGTACTTTTGTTAGCAGATGTACTTCAGTTATTCAAAGCCCTGTTGTCCAGATGACTAACTTGAAGTCAAAAAGTCCTAAATGGAAAAGAGTAGTATTCAAAATAAGCGGTGCTGCTCTTGCTTGCAGTGGTCCTAACAATGTTGACCCCAAGGTTTTCTAGGGCACCTTTATATATAAAATACGATGACCTTAGTATCATTCTTTTTGCTCTTCAGTGAGTTTCTTTTTTCTTTATTATCAGGTGGCAATGCAGATTGCAAGGGAAGTTGAAGTTGCTTGCCGCCTTGGTGTGCAGGTAAATTATTGATTCTAAGTTGCCTTTTGTGAGTGGAGCTGTTTGCTTTTGTTTCAAGGTTGACATGGAATATGCTTTTCTTCTTGTGTGATATCCTAGGTAGCAATAGTTGTTGGAGGTCGTAATTTCTTTAGTGGAGAAACATGGGTGACTGCAACTGGTTTAGATAGAAGTACCGCATACCAAATTGGGTAATAATGTCATTCTCTTTAACCTGGTATATAATAATGTGCCTTTTTTTTAATTATATTGTGTTCCAGTTTCACCCTTCAAATTATGTTTAATGGCATGTAAGGTGAAGCCTGGTCCTGTTTTGTACTTTAATCTTATGAATTGATTAAATTTTTATGTACTTTTCTTCTTGTGATATTACTAAAGTTACGATATAATGCTCTACCATGTGATCTTGTTTGGCTATATCCAGGAAAGGCTTACATTTAGCTCTAAACTGCTCTGAAGATTTTATCCTATTGCTTGTTATGTCCAATAGAGCACAATAGAAAAAGAAATTTGAATGTTTTTGGAAAGATCCTAGTTAATGAATCTGTTTATTATTTGAGAATTTACTTCTAAAATCCAAATGTTGACAACGGTGAAGTTTTCAGTATTCTTCTTGCTTTTAATTATTTGGTTTGAATAGGCTTCTAGTGGACAATTATTCGATTTAATTCATATCATGTGGTTGATGTCAAAATTTGTTGCACATGAAATTCACCCAAAAGTTCTTTCAGATATGCTTGCCAGACAATTACTTTAGTTGCAGCATATTGATTGTGATGCTGTCTAGGCAATGTGATTAAGCACTTATGTAGTGGCATTTAGTTATGAATACGACTCTGCATATTGTTACAGAATGATGGCAACAGTGATGAATTCTATACTGCTGCAATCATCACTGGAGAAAATTGGTGTTCAAACCCGTGTTCAAACTGCATTTCCAGTGCAAGAGGTTGCTGAACCATACAATCGGCAGCGGGCCATCCGGCATCTTGAAAAAGGCAGAGTTGTGATTTTTGGTGGCATTGGGGCTGGTGCTGGAAATCCACTGTTTTCCACTGACACAGCTGCAGCTCTTCGAGCTTCAGAGAGTATGGCCTTTATCATTTGCACTTAAATATCTGGAATTATATATCTGAGACAACTACAAATTTACAAACGAGTTGATTTTCTTTGGGATTTTGACATGTCTCCTTTTCCTTCAGTTAATGCTGAGGCAGTTCTTAAAGGTACCAATGTTGATGGTGTGTATGACTGCCACTCCCAAGACAATAATGCTACATTTGAACACATCAGTTTTAGAGACCTCGTCTCTAAAGGTGCTACATCCATGGACACGATGGCACTGACCTTCTGTGAAGAAAATGGCATTCCTGGTTTGTATTCTTCCTTTTCTTTTCACATTTTTTTTCCCTAGATATTTGATAAAGATTTGCATTTGTTCATTTGGTTGGTATTCTGAGCACTTCACATGAAGGCGGTGAGATTGACAACTGACATTTTAGTAGAAATATTGTCCAGCTTTTGTGCTTGTTAGATGTATTCTCCATGCCTCGAAGTGGTACTGTCAATTATAATTTTATTAACTGGAGGTTAAGCTTTGATGGGTAAGAACTAATCAGTTGATATGATTTAATTTTGGTACAGTCGTGGTCTTTAATCTTCTTCAGCCAGGAAACATCTCAAAAGCATTATGTGGAGAGCAAGTTGGTACACTGATTGATCAAACTGGAAGATAAGATGATCATTGGAAATTCTGATTTGATGAATTTAGTAGTAGTGACTATATAAATGTAACAAGTGCACTACAAGTGTACACGTAGGCCGCATTTCTTTTCCTGTTGAGGCATCAATGGCTCAATGATATGCATCTGAGAGAATGGTGACTGTTTCTGAGCCCTCAGATTTCGTTTCTTTTTTGATGATCTGCATTCAGTGTGATGCCAAAGTCTCTTGTATTTGAATATTTAAGCTGCCAGATAATTGATGCACTCTACTGAAATAATTTATTAGGAATACTATAGAGGTAGAGGTGGGTCTGGAAAAGTACCCATTGAGCAAGATATTCTGTAAAAAGTCTTCCCTAGCTGGAAAGTCATTTATCTAAATGTACTTGTATTCAACTGTTAAGAATTTGTATTCCTTTTCATCTTGAGATTGTAGTGACTGGGAATACAAGTATTGATGCTGCTGGAATGCATCTGTCCGCTGTGTAGTGTTGAAACAGAAACAGCAGTTTAGTTGATAGATGAATAAATGATATTTATTTATATGACTCCGTCATACATTCATTATGAATTTGATTTTTAATTGTTTGATATAAAATTCCCATCCCAGCACATGAGATCATGTCATTTTGGGTACATGTCAAGATGTTAAATGTTAGAGACGGTTCAAAATTTTAGATGGATTAGCGAAGATCATCTCATTCTGAACATGGTATCAGAACCATTTGATTTAAATGATCGGAAGCGATTTACCCAATGACATTGTATCAGAACCACTCCTGAAAACCCCTTAACAGCAAGCACGGCTGCATTTGCAATAACACACCAAGACAGTTGAGTTAGCTCAATTCATGAAATACAGTTATCAGACTGAAGAACATCAGTATTTCTATTTAAATTAAGCCCATAACCCGATAAATCATGTGGGAAACTTATGCAGGGGTTATGTGACATCTTTAACATTATATATTGGATCAGTGGCCTAGATGAACAGGAACCTTGGTGCATTGCTCCTTGAAGAGATTTGGAACTAGAGGCAACATCTTTAACATCATGAAGCTCAGAAGAGTGACTTACATGTGGCAAAAGCTTGCGGCAGGCAGCAAGAAGAAACTCCCAAGGATGTCCCTCAAAGCCACCAAGCTGTTATTGTTGCAGAACCTGGCTAGTGGTTGTCATAGAAGACAGATTATGCAAACAAGCTGGTTTTTTCTCAGCTGCTAGACCAAGTATATGAAGAGTATGGTACCTATAAAGATGGTTCCCGGGCTATTCATTGTGATGAGGGTCTCTTCAAAGCAAGTGTTCATTCACTAGATTGTGGCACAAACGTCAGCCTGTTAACCTGGGATGTAAATGGAGAAAAACCAGTTGTGGGAGCTCGTGGAGGGAATCAAGACCTCTTCATGTGTCTGTGAGAAGACTGATGTGCTGGAGAGTGGAGAATCAACAGCAGCAGCATGTATGTGACAGCAACAGGTCCGAGTGGTTGCCAAATTTATCCCCTAGCATCACCATAATGAGACCTTCAATATACTCACAGAATGGGGTTCCATGCCTTGACCTGAGCTAATTGCATCAGAAGATTTCATAGTACCACATGCCATCAGTTTATCAAGTGATATGATGCTAGAGCATCTGTGAACTTTTTAAACATTTACTTCTCCCAGGCTAATCTTCATTTATTTTCTAATTTTGAAACCTTCCCAAAAACATGGAAATTCAGTAGATTCCAAACATTGGCAAGGATACTGCTTGACAAGGCACAAAAAGCCTCTTTTGCAGCCTTTTGTCGTGATTCCAGAATTTTGGCATCACTAAAGAGCTTGCTGAGAACGTCTTCAAGCTCTAACTTTCCAGAGACCTGCAGAACAGTAGCACCAAAAGCAAATTTTTTTAATGTTTAAGACCAAAACAAACAACACTACTCCCATGTTTGATATAAATGATTTTAAGTGGAAGAGAATCCCTTGAGCACGAAAAACTGCATATTATTTTTCTTTTCTGACAAATCGAAGATAAAAATGGCACAATACTAAACCTAGAAATAAAAGCCAACGTCTGCTGAAATGGTGAAATCATAGAAGTCATGGGACTGGCCGATCAAAATAACAATAAATAAATAAGTCATGCAACTGACAAGCATAAGAATTCAACCCCCTGCAAAGCAAAAATACCTAGGAAGGACAGTGCTTCCATTCTACCCTTACAATTAATTCCCTTTTCTTTAGTTTACACTAAAGTTTACACTAAAGAATCTTAAAACTTTATGCTTCTGTTTTCAATTTCATGCTTTTACTCCCTCTCACACTTGACAAACAAGTTACCTAAGTTCAATCACTACAACCACTACTTCAGCATAACATGAAATGTTAGGCCTATTCACCCCTCCCAGGTCCCAAAATTGAAGATCCCAGTTCACAAGGACTACTTAAAAAATGGCCCTAAAAACATGAAATATCAATATTTAAGAATTTTTTTCAAAATTAGGTTGGTTTAATTCAGTTAAGCTCAGAGATTTTAGCAAATCACAAACTAAAACCCAGGAGAAACTTTCATTTCTGGTCCCACGGAGCTCTAAATAGTCATTTTTTTCACATTGTTAATGCTCATTTTATTAATAACTGCAGGATTAATCCATTCCCCATATGAGATTCTCCCTAATATAATATATTTAAGTTGAAGACACATCTACTTAACATAAGAATAGAATTGAAAACATACCTGCAAAACTGAAAATGGGTTTAAGTGTTGCATTTCTAGCACCATGTGTGAGAAATGCCCAATGTGAGGACCTGAAATAAGATACAGAATAAAGCTTCTGGAAAGAACAACGCACATAAAGAAAATTATATGTGTGATAAAGAATGTTTACCAGTCAAAACAGCACAGCCTGCTGCAGCTGCTTCCGATATATTATGTCCAGCAAAACCAGGAAGGAAAGAACCTCCAATTACAGCTATTGGAGTTAACTTATACATGTACCTTAGTTCACCTGAAAGACAAGTTGAAGGGGACACATTACATTATATATATCGGATTTTTCAAAGGCGAGAACAAAAAAGTTGAAATGGAGTGTGCTTATGTGAAACTGTATGATCAATATTTACCCTAATAAGGCTGAATTGAAGCTAACCTTTTCAAGTTTAAAAATGTAATCTGGTAAATACTTCAACTATACTTTCATTTTCACTCATTTTCATTGGGAGGAAAAAATGCATATGAGGGACATAATCCCTTACATCCAGTCAAAAATGCTAATGGATGAGCTTTACATTGTACAGAAATAATTGTGCAAGATAGGTCAAGTAAGACCTAATTAACTTGATTTTGATTTCAATAGGAGATTCTCAACTATTCCTGATACTTTCAAATGATGAAATATTTTTCAATCTAGTCAAGTTGCCAGCTTGCAGATTTTAAATTATGGCAACAATACAATCAGGGGATTGGATTCAGATCAAGACCCCCACCCCCTCCCCTTTTTGTGTATCTCTACTTGAACTTCAAAGGAAAAAAATAAAAAAAATAAAAAAAATAAAAAAAAAACACAAAAGAAAAGAAAAGAAAAGAAATGATAAAAGAAGATGCCGTATACCTAAGGTGTCCACCACATATACACTTGTTCCTGGAATGAGCTTTTCACATTGAGACCTTAGAGCTACTTGTTGACCTTCTTTCTGAAGTGCCTGCATTAATCAGTGTTGTTAGCATTTTAAGACAATGTAATGCTAGGCAATGTGTATTGATAAAGCTATGCACTAAAAGATCCATGATCATTCTATAGAGAAGTTTATTCAATCAGTTAGATCATCAATTCATAGACTTTGCATCGACAACAGTAATAGTGGACACAGAAAAATTAATTGTGCAAATCAAAGGATCAGAAACACATATCTATTATCCTTCAACCAACTATAAAGAGCAAGTTTTATGAGCATATTGATGGTTAGAAATATGAAATTATTATTATAGGAAGATAAGTTGCAAATAAGTAATGAGAAGCAAAGCAGGTTGGCTTATAAATTGACAACAATAAATATAAATTTACCATCATTATGTTCCTACAATAATTAGTTGCCCCTTCTCCAAAGCAATAACAATAGATTGTTAGCAGCCAATGCAAGGGACATATTTTACACTTTAATGCATCATAGTCTCATCCTAAATTCAAATATTTAAGTTCGAGTCCAACATGCTTTCTCTGAGTCATAGAATGTTTATTTCTGATTTAAATGAGATAAATCACTAAGCAAGAAAGTCAATCACATAGACAACCATAACAAGCCTGTTGGATGGGAAATAACTGGTTCAGAAGTCAGAATCATACTCGAGCTATCTTTTGTCCATGATGTGGATGTCGAGGAACAATAATGGTAATAATATCAGGGTGATGTCGCACCAGCGCCTTGTGAACTCCTAATATTACTGTAGGAAATATTTGTTAGTTCTTCATCCAATATATGACAACTCATAACATATATCTCTCTGTAGATACCGTGAAGATAACTAGAAAGAAAACTGAGTCTCAAAGTCAACATGATATGTTTACAAATCCAAAATCAGCACAAAGCATCAATAATTCAACAGAAAATGGTTATGTTGCTTCAAAAATGAACTGTTAAATTGCCCAGGATTAATCAGTAGATATTAGAAGCCATTATTATCCAAAAAGTGACCCCAGAAAAAGTGAAAAAGAAGGGATATCATATGTTACCATGGATGAATGCTACAAATTTGACTGAAAGCAAATCCCAAGTGCCAGCAGAATAGCAGTTAAGTATGAACTTAGCAGAAAAAGTGTCATTGAAGTTGTATTTAATCATCAATAGATGCCTTAAATTGACCTAAACATGCAGGAAAAACCTATTTTTAATATGGTAATAATCATATCATCTCATGTAATTAAGAAATTTGCAAATACATGGAAAACACACTACTCTATAACTTTCTTACAATAAAGTGAGCAGTAGAGTAGCAAGAACTGACTTTCTTCTTCACCTCTGTGAATTGAAGCAGCCATCCAGATACGTTTGTGAGCAAGCTGTACCTTCAGTTCTTCCATACTGCCAACCTCTTCCATAGAAAGTTCACATTCATCCACCGCTAAATGTATGGAAGGAGGAGACAAGATTAACAAGAGCATAATCATATTCTTTAAAAGCTTTTGATATATGATCTTGGAAACAGAAAAGCAGTACTAACTTGCAGAATTGGTTGGCAGTAACTAAGTGGCAGAAGGTGATGCAATGACCATGACACTATTGATTCATTACCAGTTATAAATCAGGTATTAGATCAAGTTTCTTATTCTTATAATACTGTGAATCTTACAACATAAAAGCACCATAGAGTATCTGGATCTCTTAATGAGATCAAAATGATGCAGGGGAGAGATGCCAATGCAAACACTTATACTAGATAACATTGATGGAATCAAATTTTCATTCTTTTTACAAGAGATGTATCAAGAATTTATGTTATAGACAAAATCTATTTGAACACCTATTCAACTTACCATATTTTAGGTCACCGGAAAAGTTGATGACAAAAGGTGGAGCTTGCAGTAGTTGAAAGTGGATTCCCTGAATAGAGCTCTGGGCACACAACAAGCAGAGTGATAACTGATAAGCAATAACACACAACATAACAGAAGGTGCACTTAACTTTGATAACAGACAAAATGGGTTGTTCCAAAAGTATAGAATTACATACCAAAGGAACAATCAAGGAAAATTTTGACAGCAACAATGATATTAGTGGAAAAAGCAGTGGTCTTGACCATCTTTTGAAGGATTTCATGGATAACCGCGCATTTAACAATGCCAGGGCTGTCTGAAATGTACAAAAGCACACGAATTCTAAAGGATCAGAAGTCTGTAACATATATAATGACATAACGCACACAGCAAGACATGATGGAAAGCATTATCTTTACTAATACTTAAAATGGTTCCCAAAATCATAGCACCTCCAAATCATAACTTGTTGCATGTGGGAGTGAACAAAATAGTGGCTTTCTTTATTCTCCACAAAAATGTGCTCAGAAAGTAGTATACATACAGGTCAACAACGAAGAACAACTCACTCCATTTTTTGAAGCACCCATTATAAGGTTTGGCCATAGCTCACTCTCCATTAACACAATTGCACTTGGCTTCCAATACCCAAGGAAAGCATCAATGGCAGCAGGGATATCAACCGGAGCAAACTGATAAATAACTTCAGCTGGAAGTCGACTCTTTATTACCTCACTGCAAACAAAAGATTTTGAATGCAAAAGAAATCAATTCAAGATTTCAAAGATGGCTAAGAACTGAAACAAGTCAGGCGCTTTCTTACAATGCAGATAGAGTTGTTGTTGTCATCAAAATGTTCACATCCGGCCGGCACTGTTTGCAATGCTTGATTACAGGAATCGCAGCCATTCCTTCTCCTAAAGAAACGGCATGGAACCAGACGAGCGGGCCAGAAGGGCGGGGGAGGGAGGGGAGTCCCAATCGCTCCGGCCAACGCATGGGGTGCTCGAGGCCCCGGAGCTTGCGCCACCGCAGGTGGAGGTGAAGCAACGGTGATAGACCGTAGGTCAGTGTTCTATATACTTTGTAGACCAGCTTCCCCGTCGTCGTGGCTGCCGTCATTTCTCCGCTTGCGGCGGTCTCTGTTTTCCGGGATTTCTGGGTTGATTTCAATTTTTAACTGAAGTTGGGTGTGGCACTGGGCTCGGCTGCTTGGGCCATAATGGCCCAACAGTATGGGCCTTGGACCGCCAAACAAAGGTAAAAGAATTGGGCTTTCTTGGGCAGTAAAATACAACCCTGAATCCTCTTTGTAGTTTTTATTTTTGGAAATTGAAAATTCTGATTTATTATTATTTTAATTATTTTGTCTAATTTTGTGTTGCACAAAAATTCTCATATTCTTTTACTCATTCCATCGGCATATATAACTCGATACTTTTTATAAAATTAAAAAAAAAAAAAAAAACTTTAAGATTTACTATCATTTTTTCTCAATGAAAGATATACACCTCCTCTTAAAAATGACTACTCCTTAATTTGTTGGGACTTGTTCTAAAATTTAAAGAGGAGTGATATGTGTATTTGGCGTAGGTACATTGCACAAATACTCCTCTTCCCAATGACTGTTCTAATTTATTATCAATTTGTTTTCTTTAAAAAAATAAAAAAAGTTGAACTCGGGCCATTCAATACCCAAGTGCAAGCTAACATTCTTTAAGTTTGAACTTGAAAAATCCGACGCAAAAGCTCAAACTCTTAATTGCAAGGAGTGGGGCATAACAATATGAGAGGCATCAGCAGAGCTAAGAGAGACTTAAGGGTCACAGGCTCCCCTAAACTTCTGTGGAATAAATATTTTGGTTCCTTAAGTTTTTATTTTCGTTACTTTCATCCTTGTTTATTTCATATACTCCATTTTAATCATTTTTTAACCCTTTTTTTTTTTTTTTTTTGTAATAAAGACTGCTTTTAGTGATAATGAGAGAGATGAGGAAAATAAAGATAAAATGAAAGATAAGATAAAAAAATAAAGATTACTTGAATGAAAATTTATTCAATATCTTCCTTTTACGAAAATATTTGTTTATTAATACCCAATTTTCTTTCCTTTTTTTTGTTTATTTATATTCTTCTGCTCAATATTTGTTTATTTTATCTTTTAGTTTGACGACATATGATACTATTTTATCAACCGCTATTCATTTATTATTAAAAATTAACAAAAGTTTTATTTTAAAATAATTTTTTTATTAAAATATTTATCAACTTTTTAATTAACACACAAATGCACAATTTCTTCATCAAAATTTTGTTTTACCCCTTAAAATTTTTTTTCTTGCTCCGCCAATTATGAGTGGGCACAGACAGTTTCTTCAACTTATCATAATCAGACAGTTGACATGCACCAATCCAAATGACTTATTCTCATAAAGCAAGGGTGGTTTAATTAAAGTGGCAACCCAAATCATTCAAATAGCTTCCTAAGAAACTAATCTCCAATGCAAGGCCAAGTCAAAGGCATTAAATGAGACCTTCATCATATGCAAAAGTATTTATAAACACCATTGCCCTCAATTATTATTGGGTGGATGCAATTCTTTTTCTTACTCCATCATTCTCATATCGGATTTTCTGTTTGTTGATTTCCTCCGAGACTTTCTAATTGTTAATATTGGCCCCCGATTTATTTTTTGTCTTTTTTGTTTGTTTTATGTCTTCGAAGAATTTATTGTTAATTAATATCATTTCCTTCCCCAATGATAGGGACCGATGGTGTTCTTTCTTAATGAACGGAAAGAGACAACATTGCTTAATAATAATTTATTTAAGAATATAATTGTTTGAGATTTTTTTTAATGAAATAAAGATATTGTCTTAATAAAAAATTGAAAAATGCTGTGTGCACCCTCCAGTTCGACACCTGGGGGTGCACACCCTTAATAACCGAGTAATTTTAGCAATGAAATTACAGATTTAACCTTAAAAGTCATTTTCCTCTTAATACCCCTTTTTCTTCTTGTCTCTGCATCTTCCTCTACCGAACTCTTCTCTTTCCCCGAAACAAGATCTGCTTCACC